AGAACTGGATCGCCTTCGCCGTGGTGACGTAACCGAACGTCTTGAAGTAGTTCATGCTCAGGGCGTTCCCGTCGACGAAGGCGCCGCCCATGAGCTCCGCTAGCACGTTGAGCACGACCTCTATCCCCGTCGTGGCCTTGATGATCCCCACGGGCACGACGAAGATGACGCAGAGGGCGAGGCCGTAGAAGACGACACCGGGGGAGGTGTACGTGTCGAAAGCGGCGATGCCGGCGATCCCCAGCGCCGCGGCGGGGAGGAGGATGGCGAGGTACCACCACTCCGGGACTTCGGTGTATCGTCTCATGAGCCGGTTGTGAACGTCCACCACGGGAATGGACTCGTCGCCGTCATTCTGCCTCCGGAGCGCGCTGCTTACCAGCGATCTGACTCCCCTCGCGATCTCGTCGCCGTAGTAGAGCGCCGCGTAGGTCAGCGTGGCCGTGTACACGGCGAAGAACGACATGAACAGGACAATGTTACCCGCGGTGATGTACGGCGCCGAGTACCCGTCGTACCCCTCCTTATTGAAGAGCCTATCCTCGCCGACCACCAGGAACGCGGAGTACCTCATCGCCATGTTATCGTAAATCCCGTTCGAGTTGATAGGCAGGTATCCCGTGTTGTACGCGTTGGAATACCACAGGCCCAGAATGATCCCCATCGAGCCGACCGCGCCGATGAATTTGTTAAGAGTGCAGAACCACGGGATCACTAGCGGGTCGGAGCCGTCCCAGTGGAGTGTCTCCCAGTCAAAGGTAGGCCAAGGATTCACCCCCAGGCCGCTGTTGAACCCCGTTATGGTGCTAAGGTCGCGGTTCATTGGCGAGATCCACGTCATCCAGCTAAAGTTGGAGAGAGAGGTCCAGAGGAAGGCGGGGAGCCAGTACCACAGCTTCATGGCTAAAAATGACGCGTAGAAGAAGGCGCGGCGGGAGGAACGCCACACGGACAGACCGGGCCCGCGGACGGCCGGATTCTTGTCCTGCTTATGAAGGGCGGAGTTGAGGGCGAGGGTGACGAGGGTGGTGGGCCAGATGCAGTATGAGGGGTAGACGATGAACCTCCGGCAGACACCCGCGACGCCGTAGCCGATGAAGTTGGTGGAGAGGGCGACGAGGATCTGGTATCCGAACTGGGCAGCCCACGGCTGGTTGAAGTAGTGCGGGAGATATTGCATCCACATTGTATATGCCGTGTAGGGCGGGTTGTACGCGACGTTAGCCATGATGGTTATCAACATGTGCTCCTTCTTAGAGAACACGCCGGGGTTTAGGCTATGGCGCACGTCAAAGACAGTGACGCCCACGTCAGGGAGGGCCAGCTCGCATAGCTTCCCGACGGGCCACGCGAGGAGCTGGACGACGTTCGAGAGGACGAAGAGCGACGGGTATGTTATCGAGAACAGCTGGTTGACGAATGAGATTGGGATGGCGAACAGGATTCCGATGGCCCAGGCGCGTATAGTCGAGCAGGGCGTGTCGGGGTCGTCGTCGTTTTCGGCCACGGCGCGGACCTCGGCGTAGGGGCTGTTATTAGTGATGAGGGCGGCCTCCAGCTTCAGTTCCTGGATGAGGGCCCGGTGTTTCTCGGGCTGTGCGAGGACGGTCACGTCTGATCGGTTAGCCTGCAGTTCCTGGCCTTGTCCGGAGGCATGGTGCATACCAAGGAACTCTTCGATCTTCTTAATTACGGAGAATGGAAAGTTGGGGTCATGTTTGTGGACCTTGTGTATTCTTTGCATTAACTATGGGCGGATAGGCGTTAGTCCTATGGCCACTAGGTCGGGGATCAAGACTGGCGCTTACAAGTTTTACCTCTTCAAGGGTATATTGGTCTGCTAGCTCCTTCACGTGAAGCAGGTCATCTCCTGTGGCGCAAAGGTCACTGCTTGAAGTGTTAGGTCGTTTACAGCCACACAAAAGGTCCTTCGAGGACTTGCCGCTGCGCATCTGCGAGAAAGGACACCTCATCGTAGGCACCCCTCGTCTTATATCAAGTTAGCCGTAGTTCCCGCCCTCCAGCCATTCTACTAAATCTTCAGGTAGCACCCCGCACTCAGTGACGTCTCGATACTCACATCCGGCTCTCTTGGTGTCTCCGGCTCTTCGACTTGAGGTGTATCCTGCGTTTTCTCATCCTGGACCTCTCTCCTGCGCGGGGCGACGGGGTCCCACGCGCTCTTCTCTGGATCTTCCGCCATCTCGATGCAAGGCTCCCGACGGCTGTCGACCGCGCGGGTGTCGTTCGGTGGTTCGGTCGCCCGTTGTCGGCGGGGCCGGTTCGAGTTTTGTGTTGGAGAACTAGCGGTCCTCCTCTAGCTCGTAGCGCCTATCTCCTGTTATCGGTCTTCGCGGAGAGGCATCGTCGTATCGCACCAGCTCTCGAAAGGCTTTAGAGCTATCTGGATGGAGATTCGATATGAGTGGCGGTGGGAGGAATTCTGGAGTACGATTCTCTGGAGCTGTACCCGCAAATGGGGAAATAGAAACGAGCGCCACTCTGTGTGGGCGGAGAGGGGAGGCGAACGAGCTGCCCAGTTAATATAAATCCCGAACGTGGAGGGCCTGCCGTCGCTTATAATAGTAGCATTCATTATTGGTGTTGTATTTGGCCACCATGGAGATCCGTCTGCGGTATAGCGGGAAGCGAAAAAGGTGGTACGGGGGGTGTGGAGCCGGGCGCCGCACGGGCATTTGGTACTGAGGACCATCAACCAACTCGAGAAGGGGGGTGTCGGTTTGAGGCGGGCCGGGCGACGTGTGGACTGAAGTAGTAATAACTCCCTCTGGCAGGCGAGAGAGAGGGTGGAGGTGATATAGAGCGCCCCGGCTAGTTGCACCTTCCTGAATGCTCGGGGCGGGAACATGCATGTGATCCTTCTCTCTATGACATGCGCCTTCCTCAGCTCATGAAGCTGGGCGAGGATTTTGGAAAGCGCAAGCTGCGAGCTTACAAAATCCTCCCGCTAACCCGATTCCGCCTTCTTCAAGGGACTAACAAAGCGGAGGGAAAGTATATTGGGAGGCACAACCTTCGCTGAATGACTTACCCATTTGAGCCTCCAATGCGGCCGGCAGCTGCACAAATGCAATCTCGGCCAGGTCGAATTGTCTGCTCTGTGGGAGGTGGGAACAGTGGCCAAAACGTTCCAGGTGCCCAATTTCGTGGGGTGATCGGCAGGGATTTGGCGGGGATGAGAAGCAATGCTAATATAAATATAAATGGGTGGGCATGCAAAATAAATTAAAACTAGGCGAATTCCGTGGTCCTGGTTAATATCGTGCCGGGGCGAGTTATTCCGGACCAAAATTTTACCTGTAGCATCTCAGAAATCCCCTACAAAGAGAACTGACTGCTCTAACTAAGGATGGGTACAAAGAAAAAAAATCTAACTATAGTAATTTCCTAGGACGTATTGTATTTACATGGTAGAAATTTTTTTTAATACCTGCACCCGGCCCGTTTGGTACTCGGGCCGGGCGACGACGGAGAGATTGCGGGCATCCGCCGCACCGGATTCCGCTGTGGGTCCCGGTCTCGGTCGCAGTCGGACGCATTCTATGTCTGGCTGGCTAGCCACTCGGACCACACACACTACCTCCAACCATGACTTCCTAACCCGGGTCCACAAATGAGAGGCCACACCAATATTGGTGTTTAGCCTGATTCGCACCACCACACTCCATGTTGTCACAATACAAGCATGCTCTTCCATTGGACACCCTGTACGACGCTTCCAGAACGGACCTTTGTCGGCGTAAATTAATGGCTCCAATAATAGATCGCCCAAGGCCGGGCGAGATGGGTTTTGGCGGGACAATATTTAGGTGTCAGGCGTCTCTCCCTTTGCTGAAGGCCGACTCCAAGGGTATACTAAAAGGACCCGGCTTGTCGGGACGGCGCGGAGGGGAAGGCCCGGTCCCAGTCCGTATCGCAGTGGGGCGCCGCCGAGATGCCTTTCTCACTCCTATTCTTCTCCGATCCGCCCTAGGCCAGCGCCGGGCGAGAATACTTGGGCGTCTCACGATCAGAAGCGGAATAGAACCATGGAAGAGCAAGGTTCGGGTTGCTCGTGATCCCTTCCGGCCCCCCGCCGCCGGGCCCAGGACCGTGGCCCGCTGTTCCCTCAACAGGCTGGATAATACCTAGAGTATCGACAAGGGTGATCTCACACCACATGAGACAATCCACGAATAACACCAGGAGAACGTAGAGCGGACAGCGCGAGGAGTCGCCGAACGTCTCAAGGCCCATCACCCGCCGTCTGGGTCTCTCAGACACCCGTGGCACCATCCCCGGACACGACCGGCACGGGGACGACCACGAGGCACATAATCGCGTGGCCTGATGGCCCCCTCCGTTGCTCTTGATGGGTAGCCACCGGAAACTAGCTAGATCCCGCCCGATCTGCTTCTCGGGGGCAAGAGCTGACAGCTCCGTTCCGCATTTCGCCTGCTTATTTCAGGGAATCCAAGTTCTGGTGCTCCCGCCTGCCCCTCCCCGACCTCGTACCCTCCTTCCAGGGCTACTTCAAATGGAAACGACCTCTCGCTGGGGGTCGCCACCGACCAGACTCACGGATCGAAGCTCGCCCACGGACCTATCGACAACCACGCTTTCTACGTAGACGAGGGTGGCTTCTGGGATATCCTTCGGATCATCAGGAAGAGAAGGCGTCCTCCCTCCTCCTTGCGCTGCGTGTACGGCGAAACGTCAAAAGGCCGGAGTTGGCAGGGTTTATGACGGCGAGAACAAGGACAGTTGGAGAGGGGTAAGGAAAGTGGGATAGGTAACACATGGGAAGGGGAGGCGATGAGCAAACTGATTTCCTTGTGCGTGTAAGCCAGAGACTATCTTGCTACATACTCCTACATGTTGCTGCCTCCTGCGCTTCTGCACCTCGGCGACGCAGCCACAGCGTCTGTCCCCGCCATCTCTCGTCCCATACCGCCTTTATTGAGAAAAAAAAAGTTGATCAAGGTCGGGGTGCAAAAAATTGATAAGAGAGGGATTCGAACCCTCGCCCAGAAATCTGGACCAGCAAGTTTTGGAAGAACCTGAAGCTGGCGCCTTAGACCACTCGGCCATCTTACCAAGGTCGTGTTAGTGCGTGGAATGTGGAGCACGCTAAGCGATTGTTACGGCGAGCCTCTGGAACTGGTTTTGTGCAAGAGGATATCGTGACAGAGCTATCACTAACATTTGGGAAGGCTAGATTGGCTCGGGGGGATGCGAGGAATTTGTACGAGAAGGTGATGCTTGGGAGAACAGACATGCACGGGGAGGGGAGCGGGGAGCATTAGGCTGGCAAGGTCGCTGAGGATACGACTGCCGAGTTGACCCGGGCTATGGGGAAGATTAGCAGCTAGATCTGTTCATCGGGGTGGGGAACAGTTGCGGTAGGCCTGGTTTTCTCTCTGCTGTGGGGGAAGAACTTCCTGAAGGACGGATATCGGATTAGGCAAGCGTTGGTGATGCGTGACCAGATATCGCGGGGTTCACGACTTGCGAGGCCAACTTGTCGCTGTTATCAGTCTCTAGGAGAGGCTCAGGAAAGGAGGGTATACATTGCGATGCTGTTATCAGCTCGTTCTGATCCCGAGTCCTCCTCCCCCACTTACCGGTAGAGAAGGCCAACGAATGGAGGGCTTTGAGGGTATCATGGGGGCCAGACTTGCGGCCGTCGAGTTTGTCGATCATCCGGCGTTATCGTGGAAGGACGCCTCTGAGCTTCAGATTATCGTCTTGATGCGCTCTGAAGCTGGAGGAGAGTAAACACAGTGCGGGGAAAATGAGGGGCTTGGAACATGAAGGGAGTTGAATGCATGAAGGGTTCGGGGCTGTTATCAGTTGGAGGTCTGATAGATATTGTCTTGATTGGTAGCCGGATCTGGGGCCGGCGCCGGGCTGAGAACCAGGGTAGGTGGGGGACGTGTGATGCGATGGATGTGGGGGAGGGGATGCATCCTTCCGTCGACCCGTCCTGAGGATTGAGATGCAAACTCCACCATTGTTTGGTATGTCGCAACGCCACGACAAGTTTCTTATCTCGGGTGGGTGTGTATTTCTTTTCTTCTTGTTTTCGTTTTGCCGTAGAATTTGGGAGAAGGCACGCTCGTCTGCTCGTCTGCCAATTGGCATCCATCCAAATGATGTCATTCCGGCGGGGGATTCCAGAGCCATCAAATTCCCGTCGTACGAGTTGGGAACCCCGAGATATTGATTGAATGGGCCAGGCTAGGAGTCCAGCAGTACAAGTCACCAAGCGTGAATACGGTAAGATGGCCGAGCGGTCTAAGGCGCTAGCTTCAGGTGTCCAGCACATCGGAACTTGCTAGTCTCTCACGAGGCGTGGGTTCGAATCCCACTCTTATCACATTCCTTTTGCACTTTTGCGCTTCACTTTTTGTACTCTGCCCATCTCTTATCGAACGTTCTCTTTTGCACCCACCACTTCTGTCACTTTTTGTCAGCCGCAATTATTAGTGACTTCTGTCACCATTTCTCCTTTTCTTTGCTGCTACTTTGCTGTTTGTAACGACTCTTGTCGTCACTCATTGTGTAACAAAGTACTCGTAACTGTAACATCTCGGAGAGCCGTCCCCACCAGGCTTGGGAATACCCAGCTGATGATTCGCTTCCCGACTTTCCCGACTTTCCCGACTTGCCACGGTGCCTCTGTAATCAACGCCACATGGGTTTTTAGCCCCGGGCGGGCCCGCAGAATTCTCTAACGGCTTATTGTTGGAGTCAGGGGGACAGTCAGAGAGAGCGCACCGGCGCGGAATAGGCCGGGGAATTATCGTGGCATTAGGTAATATTCCGCCTGGCGTCGTTCGAGCATCTGCCCACAATGACTGCGTTTTACTTTTTCCTTCCTTTCTCGATCTGACAACTCCGCGGGGAACCCACGGGGGCGCCAAGGCAAAGAGGGCCTAGGAAATTCCGTTTACCGCTTGGGGAGAGGAGCGGAGACTTTCCCCTAAGCGGAAAGTTAAACGGGAGATAAGTGGAGGCTTGCGTGAAGCTCGTCAGAGAAGCGGGACAGACGCGAGTAGTCGTAATACATGCATGGCGATTGCTTGAAGGCTGGCTGTACTTTGTTTATCGCTATCTATCAGTTCTCAACTCAGGCAGGAGGAAGATGGGATAACATGCACGAAAGGTGTCAGTGGCGGCGCCCGTCTAAGGTCCAGGAACGAGCCAGTGGCGTCCCGGAACGGCCCCCCTCTTTCCGGATGCCATTCGACAATGAAAACCCCTCTTGCCCCCAAAAACAAGCCAAAGTAATTTTCTTTCCCCTTCCTTCCTTTCTCCGCGGAGATGCTCAACTCGCTTATCGCTCCACAATGCGTTGCGCCGCCCGGGCCAAGCAACGCCAAAACACACGAAAAGGAAGAAAATATCGACTGCCGTGAGCACGAGTACGAGTCAGACCCGCCCACACAATATCTATACGGACAGTGCGAGGGCGGAGGAGAGCGTTAAACCTCGTAAGAGAGGGCGGATCGTGCGATAATATGGGGCGGCATGGGGCGCTCCCATCTGGATTCGGCCGGTGGCGGGCTACGTGGGGAATTACCGAGCACCGCCGACCGGACCCTGCGCTTTGCTGTGTGTAAGGGACTGGACTGTGGGCGTCATTAATTTTTTCTTGGTGGCACTTACACGACGATATGGGCCTTCCGGCCGTCGTTTTAGATATAACTAGCCCCCGGTTTCTCTCGAGTTTGTGGCCCTTCTCTTCTTGTTTTTGTATCTATACTCTTCAATCTCACGAGCATATTAACTCGCCTACGAATGTAAAACAAGAGCTATTAAGCTGTTAAAAAGCTAGCCATATACTAATTATCATTTATTACATAACAACCACTGCGGCATTCGGCATTCGACTTACACCCGTGTCACAGTCCCGGCATCACATCGCAACGAAGAAAGGAATAAGGAGCCCCCTTTCCACCACAACTTGTATGTGAGAAGGGTTTCGCAAACCTCGACTTTTTCTTGCTTCTCCTTTGTTGTCGCTGAAAAGAAGACGCAAACTCGTCTCTCGTCCATCTTTACTCACCATGTTCCCGCCCGCGGCGCGCAGGATCCTATCCCGACGCATCGTCGCCTCAAACGCCCTCCCCAGACTCTTCTCCACCTCAGCGCCCAAGATGGCCCTCACGGCCGAGCAGATCGCCATCGTCAAGTCGACGGCTCCCATCCTCCGCGAGCACGGCGAGACCATCACGACCGTCTTCTACAAGAACATGATGGAGGCCCACCCCTCGCTCAAGAACGTCTTCTCCCTGCGCAACCAGCAGTCGGGCGCCCAGCAGAGGGCCCTGTCTAACGCCGTCATCGCCTACGCCACCTACATCGACGACCTGGGCAAGATCCTCCCCGTCGTCGAGCGCATCGCCCACAAGCACGCCGCGCTCTTCATCAAGCCGGAGCAGTACGCCATCGTGGGCGAGCACCTGATGGGCGCCATCGGCGAGGTGCTCGGCGACGGCCTGACGGAGGAGGTCGCGGCCGCGTGGACGGCCGCGTACGGCCAGCTGGCCGACGTCTTCATCGGCCGCGAGGCGGAGCTGTACAAGGCCCCCGGCGAGGACCTCCCCGTCGGGTGGCGCAAGTTCAAGATCGCGAAGAGGGTCGACGAGTCTGAGTCCGTCACGAGCTTCTTCCTCGAGCCCGTCGACGGCGTCACGCCCCTCCCGGCGTACCTGCCCGGTCAGTACGTCAGCCTCCAGGTGCCCGTGCCGGGCGTCGAGGGGCTGCTGCAGAGCAGGCAGTTCAGCCTGAGCGAGGCGCAGACGGCGGACAGGAAGAGCTACAGGGTCAGCGTCAAGCGGGAGTTCACCACCCCCGACGCGCCGATCGAGGACGTCGCGAGCGGCAAGGTCACGGGGCTCGTCTCGAACATCCTGCACGGGAGGTACCAGGTCGGCGACGTGGTCGAGCTCTCGAGGCCGCAGGGCGACTTCCACGTCGACGTCACGGACGCGTCCAAGGCCGACGCGCCAATCGTGCTCCTGTCGGCCGGCGTGGGCGTCACGCCCCTGCGGGCCATACTCGACTCCGTGCTCGAGGACCCGGCCTCGGCGATGAAGGGGAGGCCCGTGAGCTGGGTGCAGGCGAGCAGGAACAGGGCGTCGGAGGTGTTCGGGGCGCACGTGAAGGAGCTGGCGGCGCGGCACGAGAACGTCAGTGCTAAGATCTTCTGGGACGAGATCGCGGAGGGGGATGTGCAGGGCGTGGACTACCACTTCCCGTCGCGGCTGGACCTCGGCGCGCTCGACGCCGAGAAGGACCTGTTTGTCGGGAACGACAAGGCGGAGTACTACATCTGCGGGCCGGTCGAGTGGATGCTGAGCGTGAGGAAGGGGCTCGAGGGGTTGGGCGTCCCGAGGGAGAGGCTACGGCTGGAGTTGTTTGGAACGGGGTCGCTGCCCGAGGAGTAGTGGTGGTGTAGGCGTGGTAGAGGTTGCAGAAGTGTTCTGTCTGGCTAGCCCGAATGCGCGTTCTTTCTTACCCCCTTTTTTGGTCGGTCTGTTTTGCTTTGTTTTGAAAATCTCTCCTACTCCTATAATTATCTTACGACAATCATGAACACTCATCAAACTATACTATGAAGCGAAGAGAGCGGTTGTCCACCCCGGTGAGACGGTGAGATGTGTAGCAGGTGGAACCGAGATGAGGTAAGAGCTAATTTGCTCAGGATGGGAATATCATGGCTGTGTCTACGCGTCTATTACCCCCCACATCCACTGTCTAGCCGCCTTTCCGGTCATCTTTCCCGGTGGACACGTGGTAGGGAAGGAGCTAAGAGCGAGATTAAATCCGAGAACCTTCGCTCATTAGGGGCTGTTGTCTTACAAATGGGCCGAACTTGGTAGTTGGCGGCTTGGATCTGACAAATGCTGTTTCTTCATGCAGGGATTTTTGCGCTGACAAAAGAGAAGAGAGCCTAAAAAAAAGAGGGCTGAAACAGACATCGAATCAGGAGTCGAAAAACCGTTTTGCCCAGTCTGCAGGCCAATGAGAAGGGGAGATCTGTATGCAAGTGGATGATGCGGGCCCACGAGCTTATTTTCTCCTGGGCC